GAAATGCTGTGAGCCGGCCACTCCACACGCACCTAACTCCCTTCTCTGCACCGCTTACAGGAGCGGTTCAACCAATGGGAAAAGCCAGCAGGCAGTCGGGGTGTTTATTTCCCCCACTCTTTCCCTGGATGTCCCTTTGGACTGGCTAGGCTCCACGTCCCTTGACCAAGGCCACGGCTCTGTCACTGGTCCTCTTCTCCTAGGTCTTTCTCCATAAGAACCTAGCTGGCAATACCCGACTATTGGATCAGGGGCATTGACCTCTTTTCCCTTATTGTCAAGGAAAAAAAAAAGACAACAGCCAATACAACAATAGCTGTTCGGTGTGAATGAATCAAAATTATATCCATTTTTGTCAGATCGGCAAAATATACATATAATTTTTTTTGGTGTGCTGCAGAATTTTAGTGATTATGTGTGTGCCATGCGATGGGCAAGGTTGAAAATCCCTGATTTAAAAGGATTTTGATGGTTATTCTCATTAATGGGAGAGACATGAAAATTTTAAACAGAGCAGTGACATGATCTAACTTAGGCAGCAACAGTGTTACTCTGGCTGCTGTTAAGAATGGACTAACAGTGGCAGGAGGGGGAGTAAAGAGAACAGTTAGGAAGTTATCCCATAACCTCAGTAAGGGATGAAGATGCATTGGATCAGGGCAGTAGAGGTGGGGGTAGAGGGAGAAGGGGCTGGGTGCTCCATTTACACCGACCATACGGCATTCGGGGTGGGAACAGAAGGAAGGAGTGGGGGGCGTTGGCCTCCGGGACTAGGAGGGTGGAGTTGCCACTCAGGGCGGCGGGGAAGACCACAGGAGAGGCGAGTGTTGTAGAAGAGGATCAGGGGCTCAGTTCTGAACACACTGGGTTTAAGATTTTGAAAAACACACCTATATTTACAGAAACAGAGGGGGAAAGTACCCCATTCATAAAACACCTATGAATCAATCTCATTAAGGAGGAAAACGTTATTAAAAGGCCTGGACCTCTGATGGCACTTCTGAGTCACAGTGACTCCCGGGGCCCAGGGGCCCAGGTCGAGGGGGGATTCCCAAGGTCTGCCCCCCCCCCCATACTATGTGCAGCTTGGAGTGGATCCGACCTTGCTATGCTGAGGTACTTCCTAGTTTGTTAGCTGGAAAACTGCTTCAAAAATACTTCATTATGAAGATTTCACACATGCAGAGGTACACAAAATAGTGTAAGGAACCCCCCATGTACCAGTCACACAGCTTAAATGATTATCAACACGTGATCTCTCTCAAATATCCCTCTACCCCTTCTCACGTCCTCACATATCATTTTGAAGCAAACCCTTGATATAACACTATTTCACCCATACTTTATTATGTAGCTTTAAAAGATCTGAAATGCTTAAAGTGCTAACATTACACCTAAAATAATTAATATTCTTTAATTTTTAACAAACGTAAAGTCAGTGTTTAAATTTCCAATTTGTTGCCTGCTATTTAACAAATGACGACTTGCCGTGTCTTACAATCCTCACAGTTTGCATTTCCTGGCTCATAGCATACAAGGTGAGGATGGCGTTAATCATTTGGGGCACTTCTTTCCAAACTGTATTGAGAGGCATACTCCTGATTTATTAGTAAAGAGCGGGGATGCAGACTCTGGCCCCCCGTTTCCAGAGGCCAGAACCTGCGCCCTAACGTCAGGAGTGGCCCCTAGAATCAGAGATGTCAAACCCCAGACAGCGCTCAGAATCTAACACTCCGAGATTTGGCCTCCGTCAAATCGCGGAATGAAGCGCCCAAGCCGCCCCCCAACGCTCGGAGATGAACTGCTTGAGCTCACCTCGGCCCCCAAGAAGGGACGCAGAGCCCAAACCATTATTCCCAAAACCTGAGCTGACTCCCCCTGCATCCGCTTGGCTCCAGAGATTCACGTCCCAAGACAGACACCAACCCTCGATCCGGTGATGCACAGCCAAGTCTGAAATCTGTAGATGCACTACCTGAGTCGGTCACCCCGAAACTCGGAGTTGCCCCCCCACAGACCGCACCCAACCTCTCCCACACCACCTGAGAAAGCCGCGCCGGAGCGGCTCCACGCCCCCCCCCCAGGAGGCGGCCCCATGGTCCATCACCGGTGCCTGCTACCAGCTCCCCCTGCTGCAGCCGCACACCCTCCACCCACAAACCCTGCGACGCCTCTGAAAAGGGGCGCAGTACACAGCGGACTTTCTTCAGAGCTGCGGGAACTACTGCTCTCGGCGTGCGCCCGGGACCGAGGCGCATGCGCAACGAAGCCCGTGAACTACCATCCCCAGCAGCCCCTGCGCGGCAGCCCGGCGCAAAGCTGCCGCAGGTGAGCACCGCAGGTGCAGGTGCAGCCCTCGGGACTCAATCTTATCCTCTTACCTAGAATAACAATCGCAATAGCGATAACACAGTGAATGTTAACAATTAAAACAAGCCACTCTCCACCTGTGATAAAAACGCCGTGGAAATACTATCTTACCACCTGGAAATGAACACTTATTTTTGTGAAAATCCTTTTATAGATTCTTACTCCGTAGACAGACTATTTAATTACATAAACATGCAACTTCTAAGTTAAAATTTAATTAAATACTTCATTGACGGGTTGTGTAGTGTTTTTTTTGTTGTTCTTTTTTGAAGAAGACTCTGGAAACACTTTCACACTTGACAACTGACTTACAGCCCATCAGTTTCCCCTTCACTGGAGAAACAGAATTAACAAGCAGTCACTTCTGCCTTGCATCAGGAACAGCATGAATCTCTGGACGGCTCATAAAAGACTCTTATTTCCACACATCGGGAAAATACGGAAAGTTTTCACTTTCTCTCTGAGAAGTCTCCCTTGTTGGGATTTAACTTTTTTTTTTTTTTTTTGCATTTTAAGATTTCTATCAAAGAAAACATCTCTTTTTTTTTCTTTTTTGGTGGCTTAATGGGCTAAGAAAATCGAGTTTTTTGCTAGTGACCCACACTTCTGGCCTGCAGGAAATCACCAGAAAACAGACGACAACAATCTCTTTTTCTCTCGCTCACCTTCCTCTCTTGGTACTTTTCACCTTCTAAAATACTGTATAATTTACGTATTTTGGTTATTGCTTACCTCCTCGTACTGCTGCTGTAAGTCACTTGGTGCGGCAGGTGAGTATCTGCCCATTGGCCAAGATGGCCAGCAGGGGGAGGTCCTTACACCGAGCAGGAAGAAAGCTAGAAATAGGGGTAGGGCCTCAGGTGGCCAAAAGCTAGGAAGATAATTGGATTGGGGAAAAAGCCCTCTCCTCCCCTGTCCCTCTAAGAACTGCAGGCTTTATTTAGCAGGAGGGGAGATGGTCGTTGAGACTGCAGTCTACCATTCTCCTGGGTTCGTGCACCTGAATAAACCTTTCCTTTTGCACCATCACCGGCCTCGTAAGTTTGCCTACTTGTGGCAACAGGCAGCTTGAACTGTTCAGGAACAATAGTAGGATTTAAGCTCCATGAAGACAGAAATTTTGTCCATTGTGTTAACTGTTATGCTGTATTTACTTTCTGATCGCCTACTATGTGTTATGTACCATTCTAAGTATTAAAGATGTGATATAGCAGTGAACAGACAAAAATTGTTGAATGTTTAGGATTTTTTTTTCTTATTCTCATCTGAGGACATGTTCATTTATTTTAGAGAGAAGGAGAAAAACACTGACTGGCTGCCTCTCCTACACACCTCAACTGGGGATCCAGTCTGCAACAAGGCATGTACCCTGCCTGAGAATCAAACCTGTGACCTTTCAGTTTACAGGACAATGCTCCTACTGAGTCACATGAGCCAGGACAAATGTTTAGGGGTTTTTTGCTGCTGGTACAAATGGTATCTCTTCCCATGTTGCTTCCTCATTCTTGTTGGCACCAGGATGTTATTGGTGATTATTTCACACAGGCAAGCTTACTAAACTCCCATATTGTTCTGCAATTCATTTCCACTGGACAGCACTGCCCTATAGCAACTTGATTCATACTGCCAGCTACTATGTAACCTGTAGCATCCCTCAGATGTAGACCAATTAGCTAGCACTTTCGTGAAAATTTCTTCTCTGTTGGAACTGCTGTTGCATTAGCATCTGGGACTACTGTGTGCTTTCCCCAATTCAGACTCTAGATTCAATGCAGAGTCTATTAATCTTCTGAACTTCGGTTTCTACAAACCAGTCCCAGGGTTCCGCATGTTTGACAGCACCTGGGATAACATGTTAAAGATGGTTTTCCAGACATCTTGGTAGGTCCGAGTTCCTTGTGAAGCCATCTGACCGCTACCACGTCCTGGCTTTGGGCAGGTGCTGAAGCTGGTACACACCAGCTGGATGGAACCCTGAGGTGCTCCCCTCATCTGACAGCCCATGATGCCAACATCCCCACAGAACTCAGCTGCCTTTCATAACACCTCTGTGCCAACCCCAAGGGTTGTAGACTTGTGAGCACTGAAGTGATTTCCTTAGACAGGAGTCTTTATTTGCTAGATGCTTTTCTTCAGCTGCACAGTTAAAAATTCCAAGGTACAAATGTGTGTAGACAATGAAAAGCAAGTCTCCTTTCTCTATTTCTGTGTACATGGAGACAGATGTCTCTGGACGCATACTTACTCCTTTGCACAAATGAGATAATCCTACTAAACTGTGCATCCTGATTCTTTTTAAGTTAACAATCAATGGAGAAGTTTTGAGCTGTGTCCTGGGCCCCCGAGTCTTTTGATCTGCATGACACACAGCTCAGGGGTTGAAGCTGGGAGTGCCGAGAGGGAGTCTCGCTGCTCCGTCCCCTCCTCTCCTAGCCATGGTCAAAGACATGTCGTGATTGCGGCGGTTCATGAGGTAGTGCTGTCAGCTTGTTTACCACTTCAGACCCAGTAACCTTCTTGAGAACGGGGTCTGCCCAGGTATCAGACACAACTGCAGCACCACTGGCTAACCCGGCCCCTGCCTGGCCTCCCCTATTTAGTTCAGCTTCACATTTAAGTGGGTATCCTTTTAGTCAGTGGGTATCTTCTAAAGGAGAATCTTCCTTTTACTGAACCTTCACTCAGCTCCACAGGTATCTTAAGTCTCAGGCTCGGCCCTATAAAATGGCCACATCACTGACCTATTGGTGGGTCACGTCCTTACTATCCTATGAACTTTATATTCTATACCAGACTCATCTCCCCTGCCAGCCCATCTCGGTCAGAGCCAACTTGCTCAACATCCCTCCTCGTGTATCACCGATCATTTGGTTTCTGCCTCTGCCCCACAGGTGGTATGCTTACAACTCTCCAAACCCCCTTAAACTTGAATTAACCTTTCTGCCACATAACACTCCCAGAGTGACAACAGAGGAACATCCCGTCTCATCCCATCCCATCCCATCCCACTGCTGCGGGTTTGCGTAAAAGCACCGCACGTCTACACCCAACACAATCCATTCTACAGCGGCTGTAGAGTCCTGCCCTTGACTGTCTTGTATCCCTTGTTGCCGCTGACATCTTGGCAGCTGACTGGCACCCAGCTAAGCTTCAGGCAATCCAGTGGGACCACAAGGACAGCGTCTAGCAGACTGAAAAGTAGCAGAGCAGACAGGATAACTAGCACAAATGCACGAAGACTGACTGTGGGAACCACCCCTCCATCTTCATTCCTCTCCCAGGTGGTGAGGAGGTGTGCTGGTTGGAAGATACACCCACAAGTCCTCTGATCTTTCTCCTTGCCAGACAGAGCTATATCCCCTGCCCACAAGGGACGGCTACTTCAGAGACTGGGTTATACAAGGTACCATGGCTACCTGCTTGCTCTCTCCTCTCTGATGACTTGCTCTGGGGGAAGTCAGCTACCGAGTCATGAAGGCCCCAGGGCAGCCCTGCAGAGAAGCTCATGTGGTGAGGAACTGGATCTTTGTCCCCAGCCACTGAGGAACGGAGGCCTCCTGCTCAAAGCTAGACACTGCCCAAAGCCATCCTGGAGGCAGACCCTCTAAGTCTTGGTCACGTGCTCAGCTGACTGTGCCTACATCTGACTGCCAGCTCCAGAAAAGGGGGGCAATCCACCCAGACAGACAATTTTAAGAATCTGCTGCTCATCTATGTAAATCCTGAGCTTAGCTTTTCAACCACAAACCTGGAAGATTTGATGGTAGGGGATTGTGTCTATTATTTGTGGTCTTGGCTATAAAACTGACCTCCTCACCCAAAGGCCTGCTCCTGCTGCTGTTCCACAGAATCCTTCAGTCTGCCCCCAGCTGGAAGCTGACCATTTCCTGCTGCCAACACTGGGCTTCCGTCCTCTGGTGAGTTCTGTTGACACGGGAAGCTTTGGAAAGCCTTTGTTCACCCGACTCCCAAGCACCCCGGGGAAGAGCTAGCCAGCCCTTTAAGAAAGTAAGTAATAGGATGTTCCCAAGGACTAAGATAAGCCCTGTAGCCAGAACTAACTTCCGCATTCCACTTCTGCATCCCGCTTTGCCACGTAGACAGGAAGACCCTGCAGACTATATAAACCCCAAGAACCCTTTGTTCGGGGCTCAGAATTTGTAGACTGACTCCTCTGGGCCCGTGCACATAATAAACTACTCATGTTTTCCGCTACCTCCTCTCGGTGTGACTTTCTTCCCGCAACAACAGCACCGACCTTTGACCATAAGGGTTCCACCAGACCAATTTTTTTGAAACAGCCTTACTGTCTTTATGAGATTGACATATATTCTGTTTACTGGCATTTCACACATCTTTTTTTCTATGAACATACAAAAACATATTAACAAAATGGGGTCAAACTGTAACCTTTACAGCCTTCCTGGATCACTAAGTAGTTCAGGGCAACCTTCACCATCATAGGCATACCTGAATATTTTCAGTGGTTTTCACTTGTACGCATGTGCCTTTGTTGTAGACAGCTCTGCCTGGTTCTAGGAATTGTATCTCGACTCCTTGTGGTTAAGGACGAGGGACGACTTTTGGAATGTGAGCCGCAGGAGACAAAGCTTGTCTCTGATAGCAAACACTGCCTCGGTTTCCTCTCCCTGCCCCCTAAGCTTGGTCAGAAGTCAATGACGGTTAAGACCCCTCACAGCAGGGGTGGGGGAACCTAAGCCAGACTTGATCACTTGGGAGGCCTTCATGGAAGGACTCAGGGGCTACAACAAAGAGCAATGGGTGCACACACACCCCCGCCCCCCCCCGCCTTTGACATAGCCCAAGTCCCCATGTCCTCTGGGAGAAGCACTTCCTGGCTCTAATCCCCTTAAGCCTGAATACCTGATGGGGAGAGGTGCAGCTCCTTGCCTTGCTAGAGCGTGTCCTGGGGAAAAAATCTGGCATCACAAACACTTGCTGATAAACCTGTGAAATCTGCTCTAAGAGTGCTTTCATTCATGTGTTAAGGGTTCAAGCAGGAAACCCTAAAACTCTCTTCCTGACAGACTCTGACTCAGACTAAGCCCTCAATTTCTTTGAAATGTTATCTCCTGTTTGATTCTTGCCACCCTGTATTCCTGTGCATTACAACCCTATAAAGGCCCCTGGAGGGGAGAGCTCAATGCCTTTTTCCCCTGAGAAACTGGCCACTGTTCACAGGCTTTTTCCTCTGGGAAAATGGCCACCTCTCCACCCCAAGCAGATCATGTCTCAGTCATGTTTACTCTCATCCGTGGTGGCTGGAGGGAACTATAAGGAAAGTCACCCCCACATGCCTTAACTTATTACTCTAGAAGTATTACCTTTTTCTTTTTTGCTATTGTAAGAAAATGCTACGAAGCTCAGTCATATTCCTACTTTTCTCACATGTGTGACTATTTCCCAAGTATAAATTATTATACTGCTGCTTCAAAGGTTATACAAATTGAATTCAAAATACTGGGAAATCCTTTTAAAAAGGACTACTTCCTTTTACTCTCACCACTAAGTGTGTAAGATGTGCATCTCCACAGATCACCACTGGTGGTGGCCTTGGTGAATCTGTTTTACCATGCTCTGCTGACAAGTAAAAATGGCATTTGATTTTTTAAAATGTTCTAATATTTGTCTTATACATTAAAAATAAACCTACCATGAAATGGGATAAAAATATTCATGACAGAAAAATCCTGAAAATATACTAAGAAATATTCAGAGCTTATTCTTAAAAACCCCTAAAAAATATTGAAGCAGTCATTCCAAATACTTTAGTAAGTGGAAACAAATAGCATTTTCAAAATTGAAAAAAAAAAATCAGTGTTTCAAAGATGCACGTTCTTTCCAAATCAACTTATAAATGCAATTCAATGTCAATTAAAAACCCACTGGGTTTTGCATTAAAACTAGAGAAAATAAAATATTCTTGCGGTCCAGCACAACCTCCAGCACACTTTCTCTCTAAGGCATAAAACACAGTCAAAAAACACGGAAGTGTGCTCGAGACCCACTGCCCGGATGTGCCCAGAGGATGTCCTTGTACCTGTCCCTGGCGATCTCCAACGGACTTGCCTCAACTAATGCCATCATCTTTGAATATTATAAAAACTAAGAGGTACATACACAATGTTGGTTTTAGTAAAGTGACTATTTTTTCTACATTTGTCGCATTTGTAGTAATTTCTCCTCCACGTGGAATACATGTCCACAGTATGTTCCTTCTTTTAAAAAATTTTTATTATTTTTATCTTGACCTGAGATTTAAAAAAATTTTTAGAGCGGAGGAGGGAGAAAGAGAGGGGGAGAAACATTAAATTGTTTGCCCCTTACACGCTCCCAACTGGGGACCTGGCCCGCAACCCAGCGCCAAGTGCCCCGACTAGGAACTGAACTGGCATACTTTTGGTCTGCAAGCTGATGCTCAATCTACTGAACCACACCAGCCAGGGCTCAAGACCATTTTTTTTTTTCCACTGCTTTCAGAGAGAGAGAAACATCGATTGGTTGCCTCCCATACTTACTTCAACCGAGGACTGAACCTGCGACCTTGGGTATGCCCTAACTGGGAATCAAACCTGCAACCTCTCAGTGTATAGGACAAGGCGCTAACCAACTGAGCCACACCAGCCAGGGTCATAACCTCTTCCTTTGATATCTTCTCACGACCCATCATTCGCAAGTCCTCCCACTAAACCAACTCTGAAAGTGATCCATTTTCCTGGAGCTACTGCCATGTCATTTAAGAACCATTCTGCTGTGCAACACTCAGGAGACTAAATTTGTGACTGAAGTGCTTTCCCTATTTATCAAACTTCTGGATCCTTCCATACAGACTGGCTGCCACCTGTGAAAATGCCAGCCTCCACTGCAAGCCCTCCCAATACAACACACCCATCAAGTTTTCCTCCATGTTCACTGTCAGATGAAGTTCTGAGTCCTAACTAGAGACCTCAGCTCACCCCTCCTTGGAAGGCTTCTCACCAAAGTGCACTCTCTGATGATTTCGCAGACCTGAGATGTAGCTGAAGCCTTTCTCACACTCCTCACACTTATAGGGCTTCTCCCCAGTGTGGACCCTCTGATGACCCTGAAGATACGAGCTCTTACTATAGCCCTTCCCACACACGTCACAGCGATACGGTTTCTCTCCAGTGTGCACTCTCTTGTGACTGAGGAGACCTGAGCCGTATTTGAAGCCCTTTCCACATTCGAAACACGTGTAGGGCTTCTCTCCGGTGTGCAGTCTCTGGTGGGTGCGAAGATTTGACCTGTAACTGAATCCCTTGCCACACTGATCGCATGTATAGGGCTTCTTTCCTGTGTGGACTTGCTGATGTTTGTGAAGGCTTGAGGTGCTTCTAAAGCCCTTCCCACACTCCTCACACCGATAAGGTTTCTCACCTGTGTGCATCCTCTGGTGAATGAGAAACCCCGAGCTGTGATTGAAGCCTTTGCCACACTCAGCGCATTTATAGGGTTTCTCCCCTGTGTGGACCCTCTGGTGGATGACCAGGTCGAAGTTGTAAATAAAGCTCTTCCCACACATGTCACATAGGTAGGGCCTCTCTCCCGTGTGGACCTTCTGGTGACTATGAAGATCTGAATTCCGCCGGAAGCCCTTCCCACACTCCACACACATATAGGGTTTCTCTCCTGTGTGGACTCTCTCGTGCACACGGAGGTCGGAGCTGCGGCCGAAGCTCTTCCCACACTCGCATTTGTAGGGCTTCTCTCCCGTGTGCAGCCTCTGATGCCTGAGGAGCCCCGACCTGTAACTGAAACTCTTCCCACACACGTCACATGCATGCGGGCGCTTGCCTGTGCGAACTGTCTCGAGAGCCCGAAGGTATGAATTGTGACTGAAACCTCTATCACCCGTGTCACGCCGGAGGGATTCTGCTCCTGTGTACGTCTTCTGACAACTGCTGAGGTTACCGCAGTCACCACAGCTGTGGCTTTTTTCTCCCGGGTGGGCGCGCTGATGCTTGTGCAGTGCAGACTTGGAGTGGAACCCTTCGCCACACTCGCCACAAGTGTAGGGCTTCTCCCCAGTGTGCAGCCTCCGGTGGACCCGAAGCACCGAGTTGTAGCTGAGGCCCTTCCCACACTCAGGGCCTTTATACAGTTCCTCTCCACCATGGACTCTCTGGTGAACAAGCAGGTTGGAGCTCTGATCAAAGGCCTTCCCACACTCTTTGCATCTGTAGGGCTTCTTCCTCGTGTGCATCCACTGATGGATCAGAAGAATCAACTTGTACTCGAACCCCTTCCCACACACGTCACATCTGTAGGGCATCTCTCCTGCCGGGACCCCAAGGCAGTCGTGAGGTCTTGTGTCCTGCTTGAAGCCCAGACTGTACTTGTTACTTTTATAGGATTTCTCTCCTGAGGGAATTCTTTCGTGTCTCTCAAGATAGGCAGTCCGCCTCACATCCTGACCAAATTCAGGAAATGTGTAGGGTTTCTCTTCCAAAGCGACTCTTGGAAAAGCAGGCTGGTTTGAATCATCCCCACAGCCATTTCCACATTCACTGCTTATCAAGCCATTCTCTCCGGGGTTGGGGTGATGAAGTACTGACTGTTTATTGCAGTCTTCTCTACATTTGTCGCAATTACTTGATTTCTCTCTTTCAGCTAATCTGTGGTCGCTGTGACAACCTGACTTACAGCTGAAGCCATAGCCATCCCACTCACATTTACATATTATATCCTCCACTCTGAGATTCTTACTCCTTTCTAGAACATTCCATGGTTCATTCACAAAGGCTTTTGTCTGAGATTCTTGAATGGAAACCCGTCTCATAGCTTTCCAGGTGGGAAGCTCTTGATTTTCCAAACCGATGGACCCATCTCCTTGAGGGCTGTTCACTGAACTTTCAACTTGTGAACCCAGAGCAGATGCTCCTCCCCACTCCTGACACAGGGAAGCATCGTCTGGGCCCTGGACATCTTTCCCTTGAAGATCTGCTCTACGGTCTTGACTCCCAGTTAATTCACCAGCCTCCTGTTCCCAGATTTTCCAGTAGGAGAGCTCTCTGCATAAAAGGAACTTTAATTCTCTTTCTTGAATATACTTCATTTCCTTTACATTCTTGTCTCCTATGGGGTTAAAGACAATTCAGGTATGAGAACGAGTACTCGACTGAACCAGAAAACACTGGGTCCAGTGATGGCATTTCAAGGCACTTATTTTTATGTCTGAAAAAGGGAAGAGGCTCCTATAAATGACCTCTGAAGCTAAATCTTTTTTCTTCTTTTACTTATTTTTAGAGAGAGGGGAAGGGAGGAAGACAGAGAGGGAAGAAAACATCAATGTGTGAGACAAACATCACTTGGGTGCCTCTCGCACACCCCTAGCTGGGGACCTGGCCCACAACCCAGACATGTGCCCTGATTGGGAATTGAACTGGCAACCTTGTGGTTCCCAGGACGACACTCAATCCACTGAGCCACACCAGCCAGGGCTTAAGCTAAAACTTAACTTGATTCTATTAGTAATAAACTTAGTTTAATCATATCGTTGCCAAGAAAAAAAGAAATTCTGAACAGATTTTTACAGGGAAAAATTCTCTTCTCCACTGAATAATGCTGTTGTTGCTAATAATTGTAACATCTAACTCCGCTATGACACCTGCATGCCAACAATGTATGTACATCAGCTTCTTCAACCCTCAGAATAACACTGAGGTAGGAGCCATCACTATCTTCATTTTACACATGAGGAAACCAAGGCACAGAGAGGTAAGTACACCACTTAAGTGACCCCGCCATGCTGAGAGGCAGGGCTGAGCCAGGGTTCAAAGGCAGAGGTCCGGTTTTACAGCCACACTTAGCGCTCACACCACACTGCCTCCCACGTGACTCCGGGACTGTGAGTTGAACTTGGGAAGGGAACAGAGCACCAAGTTCTCCAAAGTGCATCAGCTGTGTCTCCTTTGAGTACACGAAACATGAATGCAGATGACACTGATAAGGCACAGCGACCCCAAAATAGCAACTCATCCCCATTACTGAGTGTGAGACAATAAGTTCATATTTATGACACAGTTACAGATGGTTTAAAAAACGTGTCCAGGGTTCCTGACATTCTTCATCAGCTATTTTCCTCTTTAAGGGCTGAGGCTACACAAATCTGTTTCTATCTGGGGGCGTGTAGGATTCTAGAGCCAAGTGAGAAAGCCATCAGCAGGCTCTCCACATTCTAGAACAGTCTCTGCCACCACCTGGCTGCTTCTCTCCAGAGGAAGGAAGTCTAGAGATCCTTCACTCACTGTGGGTGTGTCATCCTCTGAAAAGCATGAAGGAACCACGAGAAGGCAGGGCCCGGGGAGCAGAAACAAGGCTGCAGAACAATTACCTACAATGGTACTAGCAGTGCGCCCGAAACGACCGAGGTGCAGAATGGGCCTGTGTAACAAGCTCACCGCCTCACTGCCCAGCCACGCCTGCAGGCTCCACGGTTCTCACCTGGACGTGATTCTCTTAGAGTTCCTCTCCCTGTCACCCAAATCTCTCTGTCTTGTTCCAAATGGGGTCTCTTAGCAGGTCTGAAAGGCTGCCCTGAAAATGGAAGAAAATGCAAGGCTTATTGAGGCTCATTTCTGAAGTGCAAAAAATTACCTGAAAATGCTGCCCTGATCCTTTGACCTACCAGCCTTTGCAAGACGAATGGGAAAGATTGGGACTGGTCAAATGAAACTCCTTTATAAAAGCTCCATAAAAAAGGGTTTAATTTATGTACAAAGAGCAAAAACATCCTCTTCCTGGGGAACAAGAACACTCCAATAAGCTAAGTTTCAATTACCCAGAGGTTCCCCTCACCCAGTGAGACCAGGTTCCGGAAGTTCTCCAGCATCACGTCTCGGTACAGCATCCTCTGGGACGGGTCCAGCAGCCCCAGCTCCTCCTCCGTGAAGACCACAGCCACGTCCTTGAAGGTCAAGGGCTCCTACAATGTGAAGCACCACTAAGAAAATACTCACTTGATGAAAAGTACTTTAAGTTTGCTGTAACTTACTTGGCATCATTAAGACAAGGAGAAAAGCAAGCAAGAAAAGTACTCAGTCTGCCAGTCAAGTCAAGTGTGAGTGCTGTTCTGTGCCAGTGATTTTGATTATAACAAATGCTCTTCCGTGGTCATCCCAAGAGTAAACAGAACATCCTCCGCTCAGTGTGAGCACTTCCAAGGGCGGTTTCCTAGAACCGGAGTGGCTGAACCACAGGGCCTGCACACTTTACAGTTTGGCTCCACTGTGTGGATTACCAACCCTGCCTTCGGAGAAGCTGTGACAACTGACAGTTCCAAGAGCACCTAGCTTTGCCCTGCCCACGTCCCCACACACCCCCAAATTTGGGCAAATCCTACTCTTTACTGCAGTGGTCCCCCACCTTATCCACAGACACTTTTTAAAAAAACCTCACCTGAGGAAATGTTTATTGATTTGAGAAAGAGAAGGAGGGAGGGAGGGAGCGGGGTCGAGGGGAGAACATCAATGTGAGAGAGAAACATTGACTGGCTGCCTCCCATATGCACCCCGACCGGGATCAAACCGCAACCTAGGTATGTGCCCTGCGAATGGAACCCATAACCTTACGGTGTATGGGACAACCCTCCAACCAACTGGGCCACCCAGCCAGCCAGGATCACAAACGGGTTTCCAAGTCAGCACTTGACAGTAACAACCAATGTGTTTACACAACCATCTCCCCAACCAGAGGAGACCTCTAAAGCAGCGGTTCAAACTATAGTTTCAAGTTGTGCTGTGTCAGCCTTAGCAATAAATCATGGGCCAAGTTTTTATGGGAATCGCTCCAGTCCAGTGAGAACAAAATGGCAGTTACATGTTCTGCAGTCCTGTGACCCACAAAGCTCCTATCTCGTCCTGTCTCTGTCGGACTGTGTCTTTGTCCCTCCCTCTCACGTGTCGCAAGTGCTTCATTACTTATTGTCTTTACATCCACAAGGTAAGTCACTACTGCCACCCCCGTTTCACAGGTGAGAAAAGTGAACGCCACTGGTTTCCGAACACACATCTAATAAAAGCAGCATCAGAACTGCACCTGGGCAGCCTGATCAACACGATGTTGTGACTCCTCGGCTGCACTGCCAGCCCGATGAGACCGGAAGGACCACAGGCCAGAGGAACCCACGTGGCCTCGAGAATGAGTGCTGCCCACAGAGCACATTTCCCAGCAGAGTCCCAGGTCCACCCCCAGGCCAGAGGCAGCGTGACAGGGAGAAAGGCTGGGCCAGAGGCCGTCCGCTGGTCACTCATCCCCAAATCTTTGATTCCGGCTCTGGCACCTGCACTGAGTCCTGCCACATCCACCTACCACTCAGACATCTGAAAGGCACTGCCGGCCCGAAAAAGCCCGGTGAGAACTGAGTCTTCCCTCTAACTGTCCTCTCCTAACATCCCCGTGTGGGCAAACAGTACGTCTACCTTAGAATCATCTCAGATTCTTCCCCTGTCCTCTTTTCTCAAATCTCATTCATAAAAGAGGCTGCCAACTATTTTTCCAAGTCCAATTCAAATCTATCCACCCATCACCTTTCCCTTCGATGACTGCAGGTACTGTGAGTCCTCCTGACTGTGTCCCTTTAAGTACTTGAGAGCCATTATCTTGCTTTCAACCTTATCACCTGCCTCCCCCTTCTAGAATGTCGCCCCCCAAGGACAGGGATGCTGTCCGTTTTGTCCTCCGATAGTAAGACAATGCTGAGGTGTACAAGCGACTCCGTGGACCGAGTACAGAATGCGGGAACAGTCCGATTGTGTGCATGATGAATCTGTGGACATCTGTCTTTCTCTCTCTCTTTCTATATGTAATATACATAAGGATTTCAAATACACGCATACTTATACAACTACATACACGTACATAATGATAAGGATGGCGTTTGGACTGACTTGCAAATGATTAATAAATGGTGTTATCATAATTAATATCCATCTTGAAGAAAACGAAGTTAAACGTTGACCATATGCCTTTCACAAAAATAAGTTGGTCATATTAGAGATTTCAAAATTTTAATGTAAATATTAAAAAAAATACTTAGGTGTCTTCCTGACCAAGATTAGAATGGGCAAGGCCTTTGGAAACTGGCCATTTTGTGAACAAATGCAATGAGGAATGGAATATATTCACCTAACGCATCACTTTTTTTCCTCTTTTCCCTTCCACTAGGTTAGGGAGATGTTTGCCCTGATGCCTACAGTTGTATTTCCAGGGAGAAAGGAAAACTCAACCCACCTGAAATCTGGTCTTCTCCTCCCTGTGCTGGGAAAGGGCTGAGGTTCGAGAACACAGAGCTGGAGGAGAAAGAAGCCGTGAGACGGGGGGCAGGGGAAGGTGCCGGCCTGTGCTCAGGTCTAGCTGGGCCTCAGGAACGCCTGCCCCTTACACACTGGTTTCTGGCAAGTCCTTGTCCACCTAACTTCCTCTCTCTCCTCGCCCCACTTGGACCCCCACCCGCGCCCCATTCCCTTCATCAACTCTCACCTCTTTCCTCACGTCTTAAAGTCAAAGTCTTCATGGTCTCCTCTCCCAAGTTTTCCAAGAGCAGCGGCAATTTTACTTATTCTCTGATCTTCCGACGCTGGAAAAGCAGAAAATCTAGGCCTTCTTCATCCTTAAGACACCCCAAGCTCTGACAAGGAGTGTCGGATGAACGCGTGAGGTCACAAGTGCCTGCCTCCACCTCCATTCTCTACAGCCTGGGTGGTGCCCACACTCCAAGGCCCTGGGGGCTCAAGAGGGAACTTGACTTTGTCCGAGTTCTTTCTCCTGGGCCCCAGAGTTCTGCGTCTCCAGTAGGATTCACACCCTCTGGATGCTGTTTATTCGGGGGGCACTTACTGAGCAGCTGTGCGCAGTCTCCGTTCTGAAGGGGTCGCAGTACAGGGAGCCAGAATGGTGCAGAAGGACTGCCTGTACGGAGGGGCCAGGGCTGGGCAGAGCGTCGTGGTGAGACACAGCGCCTCACGGTCGGGTGCGGAGCCCCACAGACATGGCGGACGCGCGCCCTGTGAAGGAAAACCGCAGTGTGGCAGCTTTAATAATGCAATACGGTGGGGGCTGCAAATATAAAAAACGAATCATACCCCTGCACCAAAGGATTCTAAAAATCACGATACAGATCAGCAAATGTTATCTAAGTACAAATTTATAACCTTTTTGATCCAGGCCTCTTTTGGCAGTCTGGTGATACTTATGGACTCCCACTTACAATGTTTCAAATGTGTAAAGTAAAACACACAAGAGCCCTGGCTGGGTAGCTCAGTTGGTTGGAGCACTGTCCCAATACATCAAGGTCGTGGGTTTGATCCCCTGTCAGAGCACATACAAGAATCCACTAATGAAAGCAGAAATAAGAGGAACAGGGGAAAAAGGGGGAGGGATTTGGAGGAACAAATAGGAAGGACACAGGGACGAGAACCAAGGGGTGTGGGAATGGGAGGGAGGTGGGGAGCATGGGGTGGGGGGGCTGGGCTGGGAGAAATAGACAAAAAACTGTACTTGAAAAATAACTAAATAAAATTAATTAAAAAATAAAAAAAAGAAATAAGAGGAACAACAAATCGATGCTTTTGTCTCTCCTTCCATCCCTCTGTCTCTGTGTGTCTCCCTCCACACCTTTCTCTCTCTCCATAAAAAATCAGTATTATTTTAAAAGCTAATTACACTGAAATACAACCTTCAGAACTGTTAAAACACCAAGTATGTGCTTCTTCATTAACACATTAAATACCAAGAATAAATTAACTGCCATAATTTCAAAAAAAAATGGCTGTGAACAGTATTTTGAAAAGTCGACACAAACTATGATATAAAAATATCTCTTTGATTTACTTGAATAACCAAGTCACAGGTTCTGCTAATACCACTGTGGTTTGTTGTGTACAGTCGTAATGAAAGGAAATGCTAATTTCCAGCTCAACTAGTAAAAATCTCCCCCCTCCCCACCCCAACTCCAGTTCAGGGACCTGCAGCGTTAAGCCCACTGATCAGCTCTCCTTCTCCAGCCACCACCAGACTGGGACTAATCACTCTGGGACCCAGCGACACTTGGTTGAAATGGCTGGTTCACCACCTTCCACACAGCCGCCCGCCCTGTTAAACTCTCTAAGTCAAGGGAACGGAGCCTTTTTTCTTTCTCTATCTTCTCCATCCTGCCTTGCTCTGACACAGGCCCACTTGGCCAATCCTACCAGCAGGGTGTGATGCACGGAGCTGAACAGAGCTCTTGGCGCCAGCCTGGAGCTGGTCAGCAGGTAGTGCCACGATGCTGACCACGAGCTCCTCAGGCCTTGCCTGTTTTCTCCTGAGATCCAAGCCACAGGGCAAGTTCAGACAAACAGATGCACACGCTTGACGTCCACTCTAAGACACCCCCCAGGTTCTGCTGCTTCAGGAGCCCAAGTCCCCGCTTTTCCTCTAAGCATCTGTCCCAGGCCCCTGCACAGCCCACTGGGACGAGGCCTGTGTGGCACCGTGTGGGCACTGCCCTGCACTAGGGTCATTCTCTGAAGCAAGTGTCAGGGACCGGCAACATGCTAACTTCCCATCTGGAGGACAAAGAGGAAGTGCAGAGTAGAAGCCAAATAAGTAACGAGCCCCCCACACCAGTGCCATTTATGATCAGCTCTTCAGCCCTGGCTGGTGTGGCCCAGTGGACTGAGTGCCGGCCTGTGAACCGAAGGGTCGCTGATTCAATTCCCAGTCAGGTCACTTGCCTGGTTGCAGGCAGGGTCCCCAGTAGGGAGTGCATGAGCGGCAACCACACACTGATGTTTCTCTCTCCCTCTAAAAATAAAATAAAAATAAAATCTTAAAAACTTCCTGACCCTCCAGGGCTGTGCCTTGGGAACATTAGAGTGCTTAAAATTCATGAGAGGTTGTTAAAACAGACCTCTGGACCCCTCTTCCAAAGACTCCGACTCACTAGCTCAGCAGTGAAGCCTGAGAATCTGTATTTCTACGTTTTTAGGGGATGCCGATACAGCTGCCCCGGGACCACACTGTGAGTAGCGTGTGTTAAGATACTCTCGCTTCCCCTGAATGGCTCATTTTCAGGGTTTCCAGGAGCTTCTGGTTTGTGTTAAATTTCCAGATGGCTCCTCCTTACATCCCCGACCTCTAAAGGTTAGGACTGCCTTGAGATGTAACCCATGAAGTTCTCTGTAAACTCATTCATTCCCTTGGTCGACACAGCCAACCTCACGCCTTCACTCAGCACCAGCTGGACATCTATCTCCATTTGGATGCCTAAAAGGCACCTCAAACTCAAGATGCCCCAAAACTGACTCCAGATGTGCTTCTTTCTTTTCCAATGAGGACAAAGATTTGGGGGTGATGCCTGATTTCTCTCTCATTCATCAGCCAACACCTTCAACTTATAGCCAGAATCAGACCAATTCTTCTTCCTGCTACTGAACATACCACCCTCGCCTCCCACCAGAATTACTGCAATAGTCTCCTCACTGGTCTCTCTGCTACTATGACTGTTCCCTTAGAGTCTATATCCTACCCAGCAGCCACAGCTATCTTTTTTTAAAAGATTTTATTTATTTATTTTAGAGAGAGGGGGCAGGACAAAGAGAGAGAAGGAGAGAAACATCAATGTGTAGTTGCCTCTCACACACCCCCGACTGGGGACCTGGCCTGCAACCCAGGCATGTGCTCCGACTGGAAATCGAACCAGCGACCCTTTGGTTCAAAGGCCAGTGCTCAACCTATTGAGCCACATCAGCCCAGGGCGGATCTTTAAAAAAAAAAAAAAAAAAAAGTCATGTCACTCCTCCGGCCATAACCTTCACCAAAATCTTTCAATGGGCAAAAAACCCTTCACTCCCTGGCCTCTCCCAATACCCAATTTCTTACTCATCTCTCCTCTTTCTTATTCTGCTCACCCCCTCTGGCCTCCTTACTGTTCTGCAAACAGACCAGTCACGCCCCGCCTCGGGCCTTCTCTGGTGTCCCTCCACAGGCACCATCTTCCCAGGGAAGCCGTGCCCGAGTACCCTACTTAGAGTGCAGCTCCCTCTGCCAGCCCCTTCCCTGCTCCATTTCCCCCCATGAAACTGAGCAGCTAATCTGCCATCCATCGTTCTCCTCTCCTGACTTTCTGCACCCACTAGAACATGAGCTTCACGAGGGCTGGGATTTTAGTCTGTGCCCGAAACAATGCAAGTGCTCACTAAATACTTCAACGGGAGAATGGGACTAACCTGAACTCATCCTGCTGATACCTGGATCCTGGGCCTTTTGATACCAGAGACAGGGCAGGATGGGTTTTGTGCCTCACACCATTCACTTAGTAAAGCACATGCTAAGGACCTTCGGCCATGATGGTGACCAGGCCAGACAAGGACTCTGCATTCAAGCAGCTGACATTTTAGCTGGGAAGACAGCAGACACTTACTGAAATTTGACTATGTGTCAGATACTTAAGACTATAAAGAAAGATACAGCCTGGCTTGAGCACAGGCTGTAAAGCAAAGGGTCACTTGTTCGTTTCCCAGTCAGGGCCCATGCCTGGGTTGTGGGCCAGGTCCACAATGGGGGGCACCATGAGAGGGACCCTCACACTGATGTTTTTCTCCCCCTTTTTCCACCCTTCTCCTCTCTCTAAAAATAAATAAAATAAAAAGAAAGAAGGATACAGTCCCTGACCATGTGGCGCACTCACTCTGGGGAGATAGAGAGGATGCAGAAATACCCAGCAACAAAAGGATAGAGATAATAGGAATAAGAGCAGAAGTAACAGGACTAGCCCTGGCTGGTGTAACTCAGTGGATTGAGCGCAGGCCTGTGAACCAAACAATTGTGGTTCGATTCCCAGTCAGGGCACATGCCTTGGTTGCAGGCCAGTTCCCAGCAGGGGACGCATGAGAGGCAACCATATATTGATATTTCTCTCACTCTCTCCTTCTCTTCCCTTCCCCTCTAAAGATAAATAAATAAAATCTTAAAAAAAAAAAAGAAGTAACAGGACTAGATGGACACGTGGGAATAAAAAGGAGGAGAAATCAAGTAACAATGCATCTGGGGTTGAACCATAAGGAAAATGCGTAAACTATGAACCTCTACTCCAGACAGCAAGAGGAGGAGCAGGGTGTTGGAAGGTGCAGTTTACCTCCCAATACTGGCGCTGTCGAATGGTGGGTTTAATTCTAGCTCAGCCACTGTGTAGTTGTACTGACACTAGTCGAGTGACAAACGTCTGAGTCTGTTCTTCCTTCTGTTGAGTGAAGATAATACTTACTTGCAAAGTTGAATTAAGTCTTTCTCTCTCTCACACACAGACACGTGTCTGTCTGAATAAAGTGACAGAGCCCAGTACCTGGCACATAGATAATCTCCAACAAACTACTATTATACATTCATTTGAGCACTACCCTAGGAACACAGGCATCTGTTCATTTAACAAATACCTTCAGTCTCCAACTGCACCTCGGCCACGGTAACAAACACTGGGGACACAGCAGTAAATACCACTGGATGTGGTACGTGTTTTATGATGCTTGTATTCTGGTGGGCACACAAATCTACAAACACGGTGATCTTTGCTTACAAAACAGGAAATGAAGAAAATAAAATGTATGTGATAACTTCTTGTTCACCAGCCAGAACATTAAGTTCTCTTTGGATGGACCATAGGTGGCAAGTGTCAGAGGGGTAACCTTAAAGCAGGTTGTCACCTACGGTCTCTAAGACCTGCAGGAAGAGAAATCAGCTGTGCAAAGATCTGGGATAAGCGCAGAGGGAACGGAAAGGGCAAAGGCCCTGACTTCTGGTTATAACATCTCCTGGCCAAGTGACATTTGTTAACTTCTTAACCTTGTAAGGCTCAGACTTCTTATCTATAACACGGGACTAATAATACCTAACTTACAATGTTGCTGAACAAATTAAATGTATTTACTCGTTCAGATATTTTCTGAGAGACTACTCTATGCCAAGTGCTGTTCCAGGTACTAAAGATACAGTAGTGAATGCCCTCGGCATAACTGGCATATAATACGCACTTTACACTTATCCTGTACCTAGCATTGCCCTGAAACACAGTAAGCAGAGTGATATACTGACCAAATGAACCCCTACTAGGAGCCAGGGAGAGAATACAGTAGGTAAGGACACTATCTCCTGTAGTGTTGGGAAATTGCTCAACCTTAGAAGAAACTCATTTCTGGGAGAAGGCAGCTATTATGGCAAAGGGGCGTGAACGGACATTTGTCAAAACCACGGGATAAAGAATGAGGTCAGGAGAGCAGGCTTGGTTTGGAGAGAGAGCTGGCACCGCCATAAAACAAGAAGAAATCAGAGATCCCAGAGATATTTAAGAGGAAAAACAGGGCATGTACATAAGCAAAGTTTAAAAATAAACACCGATCCAGGGAGCGGCTACTGTGAAAAAATTCAAGATATTATCGATCCGCGCTAGCCCGAACAGGAAGGAGTCTCCCAAACCGAAAGATTCCCGTTTTAAACCTGGAGAAGCCAGTCTGGAACTGTCCCTTTCAAGCCTGGGGAGGTGGGGGTGCCACGTGGTGCCAGCCCGAACCCCACCCCTCACGCCAACCCAGGATACTCTGTGACCCGCCTCCTCAAACTCTTCCTCCGCCACTTTAAGCTCTGAACCTCCACCACACGCCGCCCCTTTCGTCCTAAACATCCAGCGCTTGTTCCTGCAGCCGGACGAAGACCTAGAAGACTCACGTCCTTTAGCCCGCTCACCAACGCAAAGGAAATGACAGCAGCGGTGCGCCCCCAGAAGCGGAAGTGAGCGCCTTGGTAGAGTGCGGACTACAACTCCCAGAACCCTCTTCGGCGCTCGGACGTATTTAGGGTGCCTTAGATGAAGTACGGAAGCGTACACCTGGAGCTCTGACCGCGGGGTCCCGTGCGGGGTTGCTTGTTCAGCGAGTGTATCCAGGGGAGTCGGGAGATACGTGATGTTTCGGCGCTAGGCTTTGGGACGCTGCTACACCTTTCTTTTCTTTCGTTAAAAAAATGTGATTACTCAGTATTAACGTGTTCATGTTGTATAAAGTCTGACTATTCTTAGACAAATACATAATCCCATCACCAGGGGATATATAAAATACTGTTCATGTTTTGGTACAAGTTACTGTTAGGCTGGGTTTTTTTTTTTTATTCCAGAAGTAGTGCGTAGTCAATGTTAAAAGTAAGGGGAAAAGGAAACAAAAAAGAATGTTAAGAAAAGGAAAAAAATTGAAAAGTCTTCTATAATTCTAGCACCCAGAAAAAAGCATTACTAGTACTTTGGCCAATATAGTTCCTCATCTCCTATGTGAGTAAATATATATTTGAGTTTTTTTCCCCCCACAAAATTGTCATCCCAATATTTGGAACAGTTTGTTTTTTCTCTCACTTCATATCCTTAATAATTAAATCACTTTAAGAGGTTGTTTCGGATCCTGTAGTTTTAGATACTTCACCACCTAGTCCACCAATGAAATTATATTTCCAATCTCAGTATATCATCGAAACCAGAAACATTCATTGTCTTGAATTTTTTCCAATTTGATAGGCCAAGCATGCGATCACATTATTGCATAGTACAATACTGAGGGGACTTGGCTATAAAGCAAAGCATTTCGTGTAGACAGCAAAGCAGGAGCATAAAATGAAAACGGACCCTCGGAAATATTGTTCAACCGCCACGCCGATCAAACAACAACAAAAGCCGCCCCAAATATAAAGCAAGTTTTCCTGAAAATTATGGATGAAAGCATTCCTTCTGCTACAGACACGTGTAGTGTTGGACTTGATATAGTCTCTCTAACATTCTTGCAGGGTTTTTTTGTTTCTGAAAATCATGTCAGAGTCAACAGTATTTTCAAGGATGACAAATGTGGTAAGAATTATGTCATGGAAATAAGAATGAATCCCCTAATGTGACACTCCGGGTGTCTGATTTTGTTTTCTCACGTATGTGTGAAGTGTCCAAGCCATCAGAACACAAACGCTGACAGATCTTTGCCTCCCCCAAGCTGTGACCTTCGTGGCCTTTAAAGACACTTCAGAGAATGTGGTGGCCTGTTAAAATTAATCTACTGAGTAAGAAGCACAGTCATCCAAGTACACAACTATGCTGATTATCAAAACAGCTATTTTCACTTTTCATCTCATGGCACTCATAAATTAATTACTAAATTTCTGCAGCACACCAAAAAACATATATTTTTGATGATCTGACAAAAAATAGGTGTAATTTTGATTCATTCACACAGGACAGCTATTGTGTTGGCTGTTGCCTTTTTTTTTAATTTGACAATCTAAGCCAGGGGTGTCAAACTCATTTTCACCCAGAGTCACATCAGCTTCGCGGTTGCCTTCAAAGGGCCAAATGTAATTTCAACTCCTTAACAGCTAAGGAGTACTTACATTTATACAGTCCTAAAATTATTTCCACCCTTTGAAGGCAACCACAAGGCTGATGTGGCCCCTAGTGAAAATGAGTTTGACAGCCCTGATGTACAGGAAAAAGGTCAGAGCCCCTGACTAAATAGTCAAGTATTGCCTTTATTAAAAATTCTTGTGCTACACTGGTTGGAAATTGCTGATCTGGTCCTGATTGGTATGGCTCAGTGGTTGAGTGCCCCACCTGTCAGTCAAAGAGTCCCTGATCAATTCCCTGTCAGGGCACCTGCTGGGGTTGCAGGCCAGGAACTCAGCAGCGGGCTTGCAAGAGGCTACCACACATCGATGTTTCTCTCCCCTTCTTTCTCCCTCCATTCCTTTCTCTAAAATAAATAAATAAATAAATAAACAAATAAATAAATAAATAAATAAATAAAATCTTAAAAAAAAAGAAAATTGCTGATCTAGATATTCTGCTGCATTAAAGCTATTATTAATAGTATTATTAATACTATTATTCAATATATACATATATTATGCTGTATTGTTATAGTTTTGTGTGATATGTATTTTATATATAAAACAATTTATATGTCTATGTACTCTGGTTATTAGTCTTGTCTGATACATATTTTCAAATATAAGCTATTACTATATGGCTTATTTTATCATCTTTTAGTAGTGCCTCTTGATGAGCAAAAGTTCTTAATTTTAATCTTTCTGCCATTTAGTTTTGTAAATGGAGTGAGGTAGGACTCAGAATAGTTTTCCGCAAGAATATCCAATTGTTTCTTTTACTGACTCAAATTCAGGCGATCATGTATACAGATTCTCCATTCTGTCTCACTGGTCAATTTGTCTATCTTAGGATACTATTATAGTATCTTTTTTCCCCGTTTTTCTTTTTCAATGTGTGGTTGCCTCTTGTGGGCCCCCCACCGGGGGCCTGGCCCACAACCCAGGCACGTGCCCTGACTGGGAAACAAACCAGCGACCCTTTGGTTCGATGGCCTGCACTCAATCCACTGAGCCACACCAGCAAGGGCAATATTATAGTATCTTACTGCTAATAGATTTAAGATAAGTCCTGTTGTCTGTTACTATAAGTTCTCCAGCTTCATTCCTTTTTCTCAACATTTCTTTGACTAATGTTGGTGGACCTTTTCTTTTCCGCATATTTTTTAAAAAATTATTTTATTGTTGTTCAAGTACAGTTGTCTGCATTTACCCCCCACCCCTCCACATAATTTTTCAATCAGCTGGTCCATTTCCACCAAATCTCTATTGATATTCAAAAGCTTTGAACCTCTAGATTCATTTGTCAAGAATTGATATCTTACAATATTAATTCTTTGGTTTCATGAACATGGTATTATTTACTCCAGTCATCTTTATATTTGTGTCAACATTTTTTTTAGTTTTCAGTGTAGAGGTCTTACAGTGTAAGACTTCCACACAATGTGTATTAGATTTATTCTAAAGTATGTGAGTTTTTGTGCTATAATTGTTTTTTAAAATCTATTTCTATTTGTTTATTGCTGTTATATAGAATATGAATGATTTTGTGCAATTTTAGTAATATACTCACTGGCTAAATTCACTTCTAAATTCCCATAAATTTTGTAGATTCTTTGATTTTTTGCAAGCAAACAACCACATTGTCTGTGAATGTGTTTCTCCTCCCAATAATTATGCCTTTCATTATTATTACATAGGCATAGTTGCTTCATAGAAGGAAATTTGAGGTTTTTCTTCACATTTAATACTTTGGAACAACCTAGAGTCTGGGTCTGTGGGAGAAGACTTGAGGTCCATGCTGGGCAAAAAACAGGCAGGAAGAGAACTAGTGGGCATACCCTGAACATGTTAAACCTTGTACATGTTAAACCTCAAACTCCATGTACAGCGTCAGTCGGACTGACAAAGGAGATGGAATCAGGACAGATGCTGGTCCTATGACTACTGAGGAGACGACCATCAGGGCTCCCAGGAATCCTCTGTAAACAGCTGATAGGCAAACACAGTGGCTCCATTTGAACCTGATGTGCTGGCTCTGCAGGAGACCCCACATCTCAGCAGGTATCGCCGGGCTATTCCTCACAGAGTTTGTGACAGAGTCCAGCTGGGTCCAGCATGAGAAAGATTCCCGGGCGTCTCTGGATTTATCCTTGGTGACCCCTAACACGGGGGCAGGGGGCATGGACATGGGCAGTACAATCACTAACGGTATGAAATGAGGTAGGAAGCCAGCTTCATTTTTCCCCGAATGGCCAACCTGTGGTATCATTTTTTGATGAGCCCTCTCATAAATCCCACCTCATTCTTTCTTCAGAGTCACTGAACTATCTTGGAAATTTTATATGGTCTCACTGTATTTATGGATTAACTTTGGAAAAGCAGCTACCCTGTGTAAATGAGATTTATTATACAAGAACAGTTGGTGTATTCAAGTGTTCTTTATATCCCTCAATTATTTCAAATCCTTTTAATTATTTCAAGTTTTATTCACATAAAATCAAATTTATGCCTAGATATTTTACCTTTGTTGATATTATAAATTTGGCCTAGTTTTTGTCAGAACAAAAATCCATTTGTTTTTATTAGAAAAAATTCTTTTTTTGAAGATTTATTCACTTTTAGAGAGAGGGGAAAGGAAGGAGAAAGGGAGAGAAACTTTGATGTTTTAGAGATAAATCAATCGATTGCTTCTTGAACACCCCTAACTGGGGACCTGGCCCACAAACCAGTCATGTGCCCTGAGAATTGAACTGGTGACCCTTCAGGTCACAGGTCAGCACTCAATCCACTGAGCTACACCAGCCAGAACTGTCCTTCAATTTAAAAAAAATTATTGATTTTAGAGAGAGAGAGAAATATTGATTAGTTGTTCCACTTACTTATGCATTCAGTGGCTTATTCTTGTATGTGCCCTGACTGGGGATCAACCCCATGACCTTGGCATATTAGGACAACATTCTAACCAACTAAGCTGCCTGGGCATGGCCTGTCATTCGATTCTAAATTCCTTGCCAATCCCTCTGGCTTGCAAAGTTTCTGCTGAGAAATCAGCCAAAAGTTTTATGGGAGCTCCCTTGTAAGTAACTAACTGCTTTTCTCTTGCTTCTTTTAAAATAATCTCTCTGCCTTTAACTTTTGCATCTTAATTATGATGTGTCTTGGTGTGGGCCTCTTTGGGTTCACCTTGTTTGGGACTCTGCACTTCCTAGACTTGTATATTTTCCTCACCAGGTTAGAGAAGTTTTCTATCATTTTTTTCAAATAGGTTTTCAATTTCTTGTGCTCTCTCTCCTCCTCTGAGTAACCC